TTTTGCCAGTGCAGTGTTACCAGCTAATTTCACTGGCCTAGCATCCCACATGCTGTTTTATTTTTTAAACATCACATAACACATTCTTCACATTACTGCAAGTTTGACTATACTGCAATAACAAAATCACATAGTTAAGCTTTGCAGGATGAAGGCACAGGGGGGGGTGTGCAGTTTGAAATTGTGTGTTTCTGTGTCTACCTTTGTGGTTGTACCAAGCAATTAATCAGTGGCACTTACTGCAAAGCCTTGTGATTAATGTTGCCCTGTATATCAGGTCCCTTGGCTGCAGCACATGAGACACTCTCTTGGTATAATGAAACCTATCCCTCTATGAACCCAAATCCATCTGCCTCCCATCACATCTGCTATGGCAGGCTGGCCCCAGAGTGGGCAGGGAGTCTATGTTGGTCAGTTGTTTTCACCTGAAATGAGGGCAGACCGATGCAGGTAGTTCGAGTGTGAATCCTTTAACAAGGTACAGATGGTTCAAGATGATGGTGTGTCAGATGTAACCATTGAAGTCTTTTTAGAACAGGACAGGTCTTTGTTTAAACCACATAAATGACCTCTGAACGTTGTGATGAAGGAAGTTTGGGTGGAAGCAGGCTGAATGCAGAAATGCAAGATGACTGCTTGAGTTGGCATGTCCACAAACCTTAGGTTGTTGAGAATGCTGGGGGGGTTTTTTTTGTTGTTTTTTTCCAGTTTCTGAATTGTCATGATGAAACTGAGTTCATATGGGGGATGTGGATTCAAGGCCACTCTTCAAAAGGGCAGCAAAAGAATCAGAGAAGAATGTATTGCCTTGTTTAATTGTTGACATGGCACATGACAAACTCCTCTGATAGCTCAGTCTTCCTGAAGTGTCATTTGAAAATGTGGCAGTGCGGCATTTGGAACGAGGGTCTGCTGTTGCTCTCAAGGGTCCAGTTTGTTTAGCTAGTGTTCCCAGATTGGTGACCAGGAAGCTAATCTCTCTGTTAAAGGATGCTCTGTGCCGTGTTCTCTGCAGCACTTTGCTTTCTGAAGTTCGTTGCAGAGCTGTCTGAGGGCTTTGACACCGATAAAGCCGACCGCTCATGCCTTTCCTCCCTTGGCACTGCCAGTACAGAGCAGTGGAGAGCTTGGTCTTGCTTTTGCATTGGCTGCACAATGTGGCATGGTAGAGCGAGTAGTAAATAAATGATGATCCTGCTCTAGCAGCACGTGCAGTTCAGCTCATAAGGTACACTTAATTTCCAAGTCCTAGTGTTCTTTTCAGCATTCGCTTCCGGTCTGCTCCTTTTCCAAGTAGCATCTAGCACTCACTTTGCTGTATTTCCTTCTGCTCCCTTTCCTGTTTTTTGCTGATGTCAGTGCAACCACGTCCCCTTTTGGCTACTCTGCAAATCTAATCAAGTGTTTCTTGCAGCCAGGCAGCTGTTTGCTGATCAGCTAATCCTGCTTCAGCCTCATGCGCGCGCGCGCACACACACACACGTGGTCAGTTCAGTGTTTCTGGCATAGATCATCATCATGTGAGCAGCCGACTGGCTCATGAGGAAACTTTCCCTTCAATCTCCTGAGTTGAAATAGTCCTGTGTTCCACTGAGTTGAGTTGTACAGTAGCGCCTTCTGTGATAGAGTTGGTGGTGAGAGAAGAGAGGTGCAGTACAGAGGAGCTGGTGTCATGTGTCCTTTGCCTTCTTCTTCTGACCATGTCTCTGTTGTCTTTTGGTGACAGTGACAACTTGTGATCATGGAGCTGAGGGTGGGGAACAAGTACCGGCTTGGGCGAAAGATAGGGAGCGGTTCCTTTGGAGACATTTACCTTGGTGAGTGAAACTGTCTCCTCTGTAAATGTTCTTCCCACCTTAGTCTCTTTTTATACTGGATCATTATTGTCTTTATCTTGGCACTGAACTTGAGTTTCCTTCATTCATCCATCATTGGCCTGGTACTAGTGCAGCTGCCGTAGCTCTTACAGCTGTGTTGTGTGTGTGTGTGTGTATGTCCCCTCAGGTGCCAACATTGCAACCGGTGAGGAGGTAGCCATCAAGCTTGAATGTGTGAAGACCAAACACCCACAGTTGCATATTGAAAGCAAGTTCTACAAGATGATGCAAGGAGGAGGTATGGAGTGAATGCAGCTTTGACTTGGAAAGTTTTGTCTCTGGCAGTGTTGGATATAAATACTCTGCTAAAGCTGTGGGAAGTTTGTGTAATGAATTCTTTTAAAAATAAAACTGTCTGGACTGTTGTGTTTTTGTGATATAAATTCATCTGAAGTGAACCTGCATAGATGAGTGAGGCTAATTGTGTCTGTGCATTTGTGTATTCTAGTGGGTATTCCATCGATCAAGTGGTGTGGGGCAGAGGGAGACTACAATGTGATGGTAATGGAGCTGCTTGGCCCCAGTCTGGAGGACCTCTTCAACTTTTGCTCACGGAAATTCAGCCTGAAGACTGTCCTGCTTTTGGCAGACCAGATGGTATGACGTGAAGTCGTGGTCGGTGCAGTTAGGACAGCTTCACAGACCCCTCCCTTAAAATTCCACAATGTGAAAAAAGTTGTTTTCAGAAGTAGAGCAACGCAGATGTATAATTTATGATCCTGTTACTTTTATTTATTGGAGCTTTCTCTGTATAAATGTTGCACTTAATTCCCTTAAGATTTCTTTAAAGATTAGTTGTTTGGCCTCCACTACTCTGGTTCTGGCCTCTTCCTAGGCTTTGCTGTCCCAGATATTTAATTCAGTGGATTGCACACACCTCACCTTTTCGTCCTAACAGCAGCTGAGCTGTTGTGTCAGTCCTCTATACGGGTGTTGGACTCTCCACTTATAGCCTGGGGTCATCACCTCCCTGTGTCCTGTCTTCATGTATCTTTTCCCTTGTCCTCTCCTGTCCTCTGTCACACCTTTGCTCATATTATTGATGGGTTGAGTGCATCTACTGCTTCACAGCACCCTTAAGGATACTACACAAGAAAGCGCCAGCCTGACAGCATGTGAAATGTGATCATGTGACCTTCTGCCCATGGATTAATCTCACTATTACATTGCTCGATGTAGCAAAATATTTTGTTAGATGAGGCAGAACCTGACTGGTGGCTCATTCTTTGTCCTCCTCAGATTAGTCGTATTGAGTACATCCACTCCAAGAATTTCATCCATCGGGATGTGAAGCCTGACAACTTTTTAATGGGGCTCGGCAAAAAGGGTAACCTGGTGTACATCATTGACTTCGGCCTGGCCAAAAAGTACCGTGATGCTCGCACACACCAACACATCCCTTACAGAGAGAACAAGAACCTGACTGGCACAGCACGCTATGCTTCCATCAACACACATCTTGGAATTGGTAAGGTATACATGGCGCACACACACAGACCTGATTAGCTTGCTTATTTCTTCTTTCTTTCTTTTTGAGAAGGCATGTGTGTTGTGTATGAAGAGCTGGTGTAGATCATTGGGTTCAGTCCTCCATAAACAGCACTGCTGCTGGTTCCTGCCCTCTTAGCCCTGTTATTCATGCATGTGTTCTCAGGCGGGTCTGTGATGAAGCTTCCTTGAAAGCTCCTGTTGGATTTGTTGTGATGTTTGTTTACATTGTGTTTTTGTTGTGGTGGAGAGGTTCATGTGTTTAAAACTGTCAGTTAAAGTGAAAAGTGGCATTTGTAACTATGTTGGTAGTGATGAACCCAGTAGAACAAACTGTATGGCACGTCACTGTTACTGTCTCATTCCATGGTACAGATAAGTCACATTTTGTTGTATTGAGTGTGCTTCTAGTTCTGTGGCTTGTGCTCCATCAGGCACATGTGGAGTAAGAAGTGCCAGATGAACGCCTTATTAAGTTACATTACTATTGCCTTTAACGCTTTCACCTTTTGATTCCTGCTTTCTGTCCACAGAGCAGTCCAGACGTGATGACCTGGAGTCTCTTGGCTATGTCCTCATGTACTTCAACCTGGGATCCCTCCCCTGGCAGGGACTCAAGGCTGCGACCAAGAGACAGAAGTATGAACGAATCAGCGAGAAGAAAATGTCCACGCCCATTGAGGTTCTTTGCAAAGGATACCCTTGTAAGTGAGGGTTCTGTGGGCGTTTCTCTGTACTGGGGGAGCTGAAGTTCTGAAACTCTTTACAGCTACAGTGTTGGATTTTCTCAGTGTGGCTAAAATCCCACCTAGTGTTTAAAAGCCATTGTGATTTTGTTATTGTTGTGTGTATTGAGTTTCTTCTCATGACTCTGGTTTATTCTCCGACAGCTGAGTTCTCCACATACCTGAATTTTTGCCGTTCCCTCCGTTTTGATGACAAGCCAGACTACTCCTACCTACGACAGCTCTTCAGGAATCTTTTCCACCGACAGGGCTTCTCCTATGATTATGTCTTTGACTGGAACATGCTTAAATTTGTAAGTTTACTTCAGTTAGAAGAACTAGATGTGTTCTTTATGGTGATTAGATTAGATTTTTCCATCTGTGTTTTCAAAATGTCACTTTCAAACAGCTCATTGTTGTAGAGAGCATTTACATTTAAATCATCTATCAGGGTTCTAGTCGGACAGCCGAGGATGGCGATCGGGAGAGGAAGACAGGAGAAGAGAGGGATGAGCGGATTGGCGGAGCCCCCAGGGGGTCTGCATCGCGGGGCCTTCCCCCAGGTCCCAACCCTGGAGCTCCCAGCAGAGTCAGGAACGGGCCAGAGCAGGCCATCTCTAACCCTGTGTCGCGGGTCCAGCAGTCTGGTACGTTTCTGCTAAACTGCTTAAGTGTCAGACTCTGGCTGTCGCTCCTTTTAACAACAGAACAATGCAATGCTGACACTGGAATATAGTTTTTTTTATTTATTTATTTATTTTTTTTTAAAGAAATACAACATGTGTTCTAGTTGCATATCAGTTTTATGCATCTGTAAGATATTGCCCAGTCCTTTACAACCAGGAACTCAGAGAGACGAAGTGGACCACTTGAGTATATAAAAAATATAACCGTGCTGGTTTATTCAAAGGGTCACAGGCAAGAATTAACATTACACGTCCAGG